GCCTAGATCAAGTAGCCCAGAAGTCTCACAGATCAGCTATGAAGGAAGCTTTTAGATCCTACACAGTGATGATGGCGATGATGTTGGTATTTCTTACCTTTGCTTAGTTTATCAACGTTGTATAAGGTGATGGAGGAGATTAATCATTCTACATCCTGGTTAGGGTTGCGAAAGTAGATGAAGGACTGCAGAAGTTATGCTCAAATTCCCCAAATTTCTGCCCAAGTGTAATTTCTAAATTTTCGATAATGCATTTCTACGTATGATAGTCTATCTTTGCAATAAACTACTACCTTATTTCTGAGGGGTCTCAGATCACCGCATGTACGGAATTTTCGCAGGTAGCCTTAAAAAGTGCTTTGTCACAAAAATGAAGGTCGGTCAAGGTACATCCCGATGTAATGTAAAGAGGGTAGACAATAAGGGTAGCTAATGAGAATGCACAACCTTCAGAAAGCCAATATAAGGGAGAAGGGACGTGCCGACCTTTGCCACTGTTGCTATTCCTCCATATCAGCTTGCACAGCAGCCTCTGGCGCACACATTTCATTCCACTGTGAGCCAACTTAGTTATCCTCACATTCTGCTGCCGTCCTGCTCTAGGGTACGAGAGATCCCATAAGACTAACTAGTAGCTTGGGTAGACTGTGGAGTTGTTAGAAGTCAGGAATTCGTATTTCTTGCCAATCGATGTGATGATTGTGATCATTCTATCGGCAACCAACATGCATCTCCACCTCCAATGTAACCACCACCGAGATTTTCGGCACCATCGGTGATACTGACGTTGTCGTATCCACCACTCTCACAGCAAAGTGGGCAAAATTAGGAAACAACCATTTGAATCCATAGAGCATCGAACACCCATTAGCCGAACCGTTTTTTCTACTTTGTTGCCTTGTAGATCGTCGAAATCCCAATATCGACAGCGCGGGAAGCAGTACCCAACACTGCGTCATCACCGTCATTATTGCGAGCTGATAGCATTTGTGTCCTTCACACTGACTGTCACATTAGTGATAGTAGCTGCACCATCATCCATCATCCAAGTCGTCATGTACCCCACAAGTGCGAGAATTCAGACTAGCGCCTCTTGCGCCATCTACATCACGAGGCACTGAATTAAATGTATCGTAGGGAGGAGCCCTAAAACCACCTCTAAAAGACAAATTCCTTCACGTTTACACACCCTCATGCCACTCCTTTACTCAACACTCAATGCTGCCCATAATTCTTCCCCTGCTACCTCGTTCTGTGCTCTTATTGTTTTCCCTTGCCGGCTACAGAATAAGGTGTGATTAACACATGTGTCAAATGTTACTTTAAACCTTCCTGTTCTTCATCCAATGAGCGCATTTTGGCCAAATGATTTGGGCTGAATTGCAAGTTACCATAAAATCTATTTTGGAAGGTAAAGGGGCAGATTTGCTTCAGTGCAGAAGTAGCAGCGACTGTATACACGAAATATGTCAGTAAGTTCTTTAAGATGCACTGCATAAAATGAAGTACGGGGGCAGGTGGGTGGCTGTTAACGTTGGGAGCATCTATTCTAGATGTAGGAGGATCTTGTAATGATATACTAATAGGTCATTTGGAAACCAGTAGTTTACCCATTAGATAAAGCAACAAGCAGAGTAGAAAAGTGATGCCAGACCTGCAGAATATAAAAACTTGCTTCTAGTAAACGCTACATTCATTTCTGTTCCTTCGTGGATAGGCAGAACCTGCACATTCTCTCTATTATTTTGCCAAAAACGCAGAATCTTGGCTCAACTAATGCATTGGTAAAACGAACGATTTTGAGGTAAAGCATCAAGGCTCAATTTTTCTCCCCTTGGGTCAGCGCAGCTGCAATGACCTAGTTCAATGGCTTTTGATAACACAGACTCAGCAAATGCTTGCTTAAAAGTTATGGCTATAAAACGGATGTTTAGGAATGTGTTATAGCCACGGATCAACACGTTTAAACTTCATGCGTATTTGTTGGACGCTTCCATTCAGCATCCTTTGTACCTACATATGCATCCCTGGAGTGGCATGCCATGAGCAGTTTCCTTTCAAGCATTTGTTTTCTTTTGAAAATCATGGCCAAAGGCGATTGGCGATCTCCAATTGTTTGAACATATTTTACTTATATTCATAATTACACGCCCTTTAAAGGGTTACTGAAGGCTTGCCATCGAATCGCGCTATTGGTCCTGACACTAACTCCCAGCCAATCGTATCATTTAGCGCATGACATCAAACAAAAGTGCTACTTCTGATTGGTACGTGATGTTATGCGCTTGTCGGTGCGTCAACAAAAGCGCACGACTTAATGATTTGTCAATGTAACCAGTGCCTCATCAAACAAGTAGCCTTTTGGAGGCAACTGTGAAGTGGTAACAATTGAAATGAAGTGCTTTCATCAACAGAAAAACCGATGCTACCCTGACATACCCTCAGCAAGTATTTGGATAGAAAAAACAGCAGTTTAGGAGACGCTATTTATAAAAACTTGGGACCAAAAGGGATATCTGGTTAAAGAAATGAGAATAAAGTTAGTGGAATCTCATATTTCTATGAAATATTGCCAATGAACATTTGCCAGTTTCTATGAGGCAACAATCACCTCTGTAATCCAACCATTTAAGGCCTTCTCGAAGCTGCGTAATTTCACCAACTCATCAAATAAGAACTCTGCATTCTGTGCTGTTTTTGCAAGATTCTATGTCAGACCAAGCCTCGAGTCTCTCCAGCCCTAACAGAAGGCGGCAGCAAATCAATCCAAGTAGGAACACCCAATTGTTTCATGTTCTTAAGATCCTATTTATGAAATGTTAGCAAAGGAAAAATGGGGTTGGTCCTGAGTCATAATTGATATCTTACTCATCATGGCCCATATCATTCAGAAGGGAACACTTTAAGTTTCTTTGCAAAATTGCCTCTCTTCTACATGCTAATGTTATGGGAGGGAATCCGTTGAAGTGCATGGAGCATTTTAGACAAAGAATGCAGACTGTTTGCTTGAGTTTTAGGGATGTCTTCAAAGTCACTAGTGCTATCAAGATATGCCGATCTTTTGGACAAGTCAAAAATGGTCATGTACAAGCTAACAATGTGCTTGTCTAACCATACAGGTATGTAACCATATAACTCTGACTTTGCACGTTTACATCGGCAACGAGGGATTTAACGCTATGCTAAACTCTAAAATGGGAACATTTTGACAGATACTCTAAGAATTAATTCATGTTTTTGCAAGATTTATCCACTCATGACAACTTGGTTCAGTTTTTTTTTTGCATGCTATCCTTTTACACCCCAAACACCCAGTCACTATGCAGCACTCTTTCTCTTTTTTTCGCTTTTTAGCCACTTTTTGAGTAGATGTAGGTGCATCCAAAAAGGTATGTTTTGGCTTACTCGAATGTTTCATTTTCTGTCTAACAATAGACTTGATAACTTTGGCGTGCGAAATTAGAATTTAGAGCGAAGTAGACCACTTTAAGTACCTATTTTTTGCACCATGGGAGTGATTATTTTGTAGCACGCTAGATTTTCGTTAGTCATGATAATCTAAAGTAGTGTGGAAGATTATACCGCATGCCAATATACAGAAGAGCTGGGGGACCATAATCCTTTTCTGAAGGCCATATTGTAAAACGGAATAACAACCTGCCTAGGCTGAAGTAACCATGGCGTTAAGTGAGCAGTTAAACAGCATGCCAAACTGCTACACTGTTAGCAAAACCTAATGCGAATTTTCCTCAGTTCTTGTCAGCACGGTGTAAAATACCTTTAAACCTCTAATTCAAATGCAATTTGTAATTTTTTGGGTTTATTTTAAAAGCCTGCTTGGCTACACGGGCTCCTCTGCTTAACAACAAAATTTTCCCTCCTTGTTTACAAATTATATTGACTTTCCATCGCTAATGTGGATTATTTCTGCTTTAACGATTTCTCGATTCAATAAATGCAACCTACTCGTTTAAATCGACTAATGAGTAGGGGGAAGTGTAAAATAATTTTGTGCATCCTTGAGCCTCTTTAACCTTTAGCTTGGGAGTTTATGCTCTCTCCTTTCGCCGAGGTACTGGTTGCATTTGAATGGTTTAGCCACTCTGAGATGTTGAGATCTAAAGCGATGGCTTTAAGAAAGCGAAGAGGTGAAGTTAGCTCTTGGCGGAAAGTGAAGTGAAGTAGGGTCGTAATAATTTGTCTTAGTCTAATGGTTTAAGAGACGAGCGTGCAAAAGTATGTTCGCATATAGTTCACCAGAACCAAATATTGGAAACTTTAACTTCTAAAAGACCTTCCAGATTCCCTCACGGTGCTTAGATGGCAAATAAAGACCAGAAATATACTGCATTTTGAATTACTTGACCCCATCGTTATGCATCTTATAATTTAAATTTATCTGATGTAATCCACCATTCTTTGGGCACATTGTTCGTGACCAAAGATCATAAATGGTCTAGTTTAAGGTAACTGTGTACCACAACTTAGGCAGTTTTCCAAGCTCAACGCTTAGGTTTGAAATGCTAATGCCTGCAACAAAATGTCTGCTTTAGCATACGTCCAAATACATATCTCAATATCATCTCTTTGGACGGGATACTGAGAAGAAATTAGTAAAAACCGCAGTAAAATTAGGCATGAATGATCATTGGGTTTGTCAACTCTGAGGGCTGTCTCTAGGTCCTCGCCGTCAAAAGACATCCTCAAGGTGGGGTGCGTCACTGTCCTCAAAATCGTGGCTGCTACGGCAATGACTGGTGATAGCACAATATGTTCCAACGCTTGTCTTTGAATTTTGCACTTCCCATTACTATTGCATTACCATTTTCAACTCCTAGCAGCAATCGGCTTTCATATCCGACTTTGCCACTTCCATGTCTGCCTCATTTTTAATCGTCTTTTTAACATTCGACAGAAATTGATGAAGATGGGGAGATTCACAAGCTGACACCTATTTTTCGCGGTGTCAAACTGCACCGATAGAGTAATTTCTGTAAATGATTATCTGAAGGCACCCTTTGGGTGACATTTGGTCAGAATACGAAACTCCATGGAGAAGGCGACAAAACTTATCTCCCTACAAAACAGTGGCAAGTTGGCAACTTTCCATGCTATGCAATGCGGAATGTCGTCTTCTAGTTAGTCTTCTCCATCCAAGATTCTAACTTTGGAAGTAGAAAAATAAAATGGTAAAATAAATAAAGCGTTCCTCACTTTCATAATCCCTTCCCATAGTCCATTTCATTAACCATCTGCCAATGCTAAGCAAATGTATTATCATCACTGCTGCCGAAGCTCTGTAGGATTTGATTTGTTATAGCAAGTTCGGGTAACAAATGGATTAACATCACTCTAAAGCTACTGAATTTTGGTATTATTTTACACCGGTCGCCATGTTGGCAGCTTTTGCTGCTTCTTACAGGTATGATGCCTTCCTTTTAGTGAAAGGAGGAAGGGTCCGACTGCAATAAATCCATTTATCATCGATGACAAGGTAATCCATAGACAAAATATGAACTGAACTCACTATTGCTAGCCTTATAACATGGTCCACTAGACGATAGTAATTAGATAAACTCTCAGTATGATAAGGAAAATAAATTATGCCAAGACACTTCGAAAACGTATAATGCTTTTTATAAGTTATTGCACGAAGCTTGGTTTCATTTCTGCAAGTTTTTTAAGGTTTTTTCATTCCAATTGGGCAAGGTTCTTATGAATCACCCTAGTCAAGTCCCACGAAAGGATTTGCGTAAATGGAACAAACACTGGGGAAAGAAAGAGGTGACACTCAGTCGACGTGTAATGCAACCTAACTGTTATCTTCTGTCCCCTACATCAGCAAAAGTTGATGCTGCTCTTATAGTGTCCTCCTTCATCGTTTAAGTACCCTTGGACTACGGTTTCTGCAAAGAGGATATTAACATGTAGATTTATGGCGTTATCCTTATAAAAGCAACTTGTTCCCTTCGCATTATTTAACTATGATGAGGCGGCTGACACGATTTGATGGTGAACACACTTTAGTTCGGTTTCATCGGCTTCCTATATGTTTCAGTATGCATGTAACCACGAAGGCACGCGAATTTAGCTTGGTTTTCATACTCTGAAAGCTACGTAGCGCTAGAGTCACCTGCAAAGATATCCGTTATCTTCATAAATAAATGCTAACCCTACATTAGTGTTTGGTAACCATCACACATTCATACTTATTGTTTGATAGCACTTTTGTAAAGGAGTTAGTATGAACACAAATACGCTTTTAATCGTGATCATCTTAGCCAACTTATTCTTCTGAATGGCGATTGAGGATGGCTCTACAGATAACCAGGGTTCGGACCTTTTTTTCACTGGAGAACTAGTCACTCATCTAGCATACATTAGTGCGTCAGCAAATCATATCGCAAATGCTTCAACACTACTTCGAGCGGTCTTATGCAGCAAGTCTACTCCCCACTGCTATCGGTGCCTCTCAAAATTCACATATTTGCAAACAAGATGCCCCAGACTGTGGTATAGATCCACAAATTTCAGAAACTCAAATGATTTTCCTCTTAAGCCCATTTTATCTGTATAAGCCGGATATTCTTTCATCATTATTTATGCCATAAAACGCAAGGTTAGAATTTTCGAAAAAGCACTCTCCACTTTGTGCTCAATGAGTACTGCCATAAACAAGAGAACCTGAATAAGATTAATACATATTTGTTTCGTTTTATTTTTCAAGCAATAAACCCGCTGGTCGATTGCAACTGATTAATGCGGAAGGTGTAGTGATTTGTCGATTATTCAACCATCGTAGAGTAAACCACACCAAATAAAAATGTGTAGAATCTTATGGAGACTAGCTTTAGACCCTGTCCAAAGCATTATCTTGTTAGCACTGTAACAAAAGCGGTACCAAATGAACATGGGTCTTTTAAACTGAGATCTTACGCAGCTCAACAGCCAGTTGCTGTGAGTGTGTCAATTCAAGATCATGAATTCATAAACCACGAAAGTTCCTTGCATTTTTTTCATATCTGTCCTACCTAATTGGAGCTATCAAATTCATGTTCACTTCGACATTAGTGTTAGTTATTTTTTTGGAATATAATCGTAGTCTTGTGCTTCTGTGAGAAACTAAGATATATGCACAATATTTTACGTCCAAACAGGGCTACAAATTTTTAACCTATTTTTTCTTTCCTCGATAAGCTTTCAATAATTCTATGACAAAGCTTGCTTTGTACTCATTTTAACGTCGAGATGGTTTATCTGAATCCACAGGAACGGATAGCCCCCCAGTTACAGTAAACGCTACATATTTTCTGTGAGCTTTAGAGGCACTTTAAGTGTTTCTTTATCCAAGATAATGAATTGAACATTTAATTGCTTTACAACCAGAAAAATTCTTCTTACTCCATCACATGTTTAAAAGGGCCTCAAAAAATGAGCCGTGAATCATTAGCTGATCATTTTATTGCATACTACAATTTCATTGGCTTAAAATCCTGTTATTCATTGGTCAGTAGTGCACAATGGAGTTTAGTAAGTACAAAAAAATGCTTAAGGCCGAGTGGTGCTACATTTCAATGAGGGAATCTTTCCACATTCCCTCATGGTTTTGGCTGACTTTGCCTTTTTTTATTATTAATGCTTCTGCTCACACATTTTAAGTTTACTTGTCACTACCGGAATTTCCATTCCTTTTTATAGCCCCCTTTTTTGAGTCTGCACATTAAAGAGGCCAGAAAAAATATTGCATTTGCTTTCTTACACCATCTCATATAATCTTTGCTCTCAAACGCCATGATCCAATGTCCATCTCCAAACTGCTCCGAAATAGCAGACTTAGGTGACTATTTTCATAGATGCCTGCGATGGTAGAGCTAAGGCAATCGTCGTGCTTTGAGGTAAATTTCAATGAAGAGGAGCCTCTGTCGTAGTATTTATCTTGTGCCCATGGCACATGCTATCTCAAGATACCCTGTGGTACACGTTCATGCAAGATACTACTTAATAATTGCTCAGGATGCTATTTTTGAAGAAATAGCCCCTATTTTCTGCGCTTAAACAATTAAACCCTCTGCTGAAGACCCCAGCTCTTCGTTGGTAACACTCCCATTGCCTTAGACCTTGACAAGAATTCACCCATTCTTAATGGCAGTCACTGACATTTTCTTCTGATGGCAGTGGCGGTAATGGCAGACACTAAGATCAAAGCCAAAGGCTGTCGAGATGGTGAAGGTGGGGGAGGTTGGAGCAGACCCTAATGTTTGCACCTCTCTTGACGTCTTTGTATTCACTGTTACATCCACTATTCTAATCAGGTAGAATTGCAGGACTTTAAAAACTGGTTGCTGCGTAAGTGTGATTTTCGTTTATTTATCTCATTTGTGAAGTTGAAAGCGCAGCATTAATCCTTGCATCTGCATCCTCATGGCTGACTGTCTACAAGACTAGTCTGGAACACGCCTAAAAATATGCACCAGTGGGGGCTTTCATGAGTTCTCGCAAAGCTGACAATCGAATGTCGGCGCACCAATACTTTTCACCTTTGCGTTTTCTTTGCGCTTTCAACTACCCTTGCTGTTGAAAATGGGTTCGCGCATTCTCCATCCTCACATTCTTTCTCCACAAGACGTATATGTATACAGGAGGAATGAGCGGCCACTGTAGCAACAACTGCAACTGATGACCAAATTTGCACTAGTTCTCTTGGGCTGATTTAGGTTTTGCTTTGGTATCTTCTTTGCAAGCATCTTAATCTACCCATCATTAAAGGGTCATAAATTTTTGACTTTTTTGCGTTTATTTTCATCAGCGGCTCGAATCAAGTTGCATTCCACTGCAACAAGGACGTCATTTTCTCTCTATATAATGTAGCAGATTTACACTTGATCAATGCCTGCAGATGGGAAGGTGCAGCTAATATCAGAGTTCGACTTGAAGAGGTAGCAGAACAAACAAGATTTCTTGAATATTTCTTACCCAATAGCATAAGCTTAGTAGACAAAAAATTTTGCCCATGATTTGTGATCAAAGGTGAGGCAGCCATGGGAGTGGTAGAGACGGAACTGGAAACGGATCGCTGCGAGAAGTTGGGAATAGTAATTAGGGGAATGCAGAACCCACAGATACGCGTTAGGATATTTTGTGTCTTCACCACTGTCACTCCCGTATTCGTCCGATCTTGAGGGCTGTGTCAGCATTTAAATGGCGTTAAATGGCGAAGGGTTAATGGCAGCTCTCAGAGTTGACGAACCTAATAAACATTTTACTTTTACTCCTTACCAAGAGCTCGCAAACTTTCCCCTTAATGCTTTTTCCAAAGGGGTAATATCAAGAGGTTTCGTTTTACTGTATTCTTAGGCAGACTTTTCGTTGTAGATATTTGTATCTCGAGTCACAATATTAGGTTTAGAAAACTTCCGGAGTTATAGTGCTCAACTACCTCAGAGCAGGCCATTTGCGGTCCAGTGTCTCAAAGTCATGATATTTGGTTGTGAAATGGATACCTAGTATATGGCAGACCATGCCAAAACTCTCATTTCATGAAGTCAATGATAATGTCAGACAACTCTAAATGGAACCTATTTATCCAAATAATGTTCTTTAGAGTTTAAGGATTACGGCGGTAGCTTTTAATGATCATTTGCTTGAACAAATTTTGGGTGATTCTACTAAAGTATCTCTTCACGCTTCACTTACACCCTGATACCCGCCAAGAGTTGACTTCACCTCTCTTATTTTTGGAGACATTGCCTCAGATATCAGCATCTCAGAACTGCTAAACTGCATAAGTGCATCAAGCACCCCGGGGAAAAGTGTAAACTCCCATTTTGAGATTCAGAGTGTTAAATATGTACATAACGCCATAAGATGCTTCATACTACACATTAGTTGATGTAAACGAGCAGATTTTATCCAACAAAATAAACAACCTTTGAAGTTGGATTAGCCCAAAGTAATGATGGTAAGTGCATGAAAATTGTAGACTTGGCAGAATGATAATATCATCAAGTGGAAGACCCCGCATAAATAAGCAAGGATGTAAAAAGAAAATAAAAATGAAACACCTGACACCTTTATCTGCCTAATCATGTCAAGGTTTTTTGGCACTGCATTATAGCTCATCCTATTTGATGAGAATTAAGGTGAATAAAAGCTAGGTTTTGGTAAAGGTTTAGCAATTTGGTAAGTTGTTTAGCTGTGGATTTGACCATGCGGTTGCTTTTGTATCGGCAGGGTTTAATTCAACTTTGCAGCTTGGTCTTTAGGAAAGGATAATCGTCTCCCAGTTCTTCTAAGCAGTGACTAGTAATGTAGCCTTCCAAAGCATATTTGTTCATTACGACTTGTTAAAAATTCAAAGCGCCACCGATTAATCATCCCCTTGTTACAAAAATAGGTACTCGACGTGGTCCACTTACCTTCAAAGTCTGATTTTTACCCATTAAAATGACAAATCCTACACGGGACAAAAGTGAAACATTTGAACAACCAAAAAGGTGCTGCAACGTAAAAAAAGAGAAGATCTGCCTCATTACGGCAGGATGTGCGGAGAGGAATATGATAGCATGGGAATTTAGAACTAATCCAATTTTTCATTTTTGAATAAATTCTGCAAAAATTTGAACAGCTTCTTTTAGTACTCATTAAAAGTTTCCTTTTTGAAGTCAGTGCAGTACTACATCCGTCTTTACTGATGCAAACGTACGGAGACGGTAAGATTTATTTTGGTGTGACTAGACAAGCACATCCGTTAGCTTAGAGATGATTATTATTAGGCCGATAAAAGGGAGTAACTTATTTGGTAACATTTGCTACCCCAGTATAATTCACAAATCTCATAGAACAGTCCGTGTTTTTGGTCCAAAATGCCGTAGGCAAATCAGCAATCACCCATCCGCACCATTTGCGTTTAAAAGAAAAGTAATTTGCTTTAGGAGCCCCAAATTACCATCCCAATTTGCATCCTTCTAAGTGATTTAAGCGTTGATGGGGTGCTGATGCAAAATGGACAACGCCATGAAGGAGTGGTGTTTGATCGTTGTGGTAGTAAGGCTACCAATTACCACTGGCCTGTATTTGCATCACTGTAATTGTATTATTGGGAACGCAAGAATTGATTGTGTTAAGCTCGAATTTTTTAAAAAGCCGAAACCAAAAACCTTTCTACAATTAGACTTTTGTCAAGATTTTGACAAGTGGGACCAAATTATGCTCGATGAAACATTCCTGCTGCTTAAAAGGTAGAAATACTTACGAACAATGTTCAAATCGCATTCTTTTATCCTGAAGCTAATTGGACAAGGCGATAAATAGCATTATTTAAAGCGTATTTTCACCACCAGCATACAAGATTAAGTAATTCAATATAGGGTCCAACTCCGGCCTCTTAATATCAAATGTTCCGATGGTTACTCCCACTGCAAAGTCAAATAGGACAAAGTCGTTACATTAAAAACACACAAGCGTATCATACCAACACAGACAGGCTCCATAGGGCTTGTCCGATTCTGTCCATTTTAGACCAAATCTGAGGCGCTTTCCTCCAGCAGCGAAACCACACATGGCTTTGTTGTCATTATGTGCGCTTTGAAGTTATGGTAACCAACGAAATATACGAAGACGGGCACATTTGGGTCAGCCATAAATACTGAAAAGGGATGTATCATCAGTTAACTCAGGCACTTGTCAAAACGATGGGTTCATTTGTCCATCTCTAAACACCTATTTTAACACTAAAAAGTCGCTTTAGCAGGCAAAAAAAGCTGGTACAGATGTATTTAGTCAAGAAGTATGGAAGGAGG